AGGGGATTAAAAAAATTGCTAGAGTTTGGGCCCCACCCCAGACCAGTGAAATAGAACCTTTTGGGGTGAGGCGTAGGCGTTGGTAGTTTTTAAACCTCTCCAGGTGATTTCAAAGTGCAGCTATGATTGAGAACCAAGAGTATAAAGGTAGTTATTTTCTTATCTTCTGGTTATAAAGGACACAAAAGATAGTGGGACAAGAAAAAAGAGCATGTTTCTATCCATGCACTGTCTTATGATCTGTTAGCGAAAGGCAAAGTGGGATGCTTTTGAAAACTCTACGATTGATTACCTTTTCCAAATTTTATTTCTTGGGAGCTTATATAGTATTAAGCTGTAAAGATCTATACCACAACTGGTTCCAGCTGAATCAGGCTTTTACACTGTGCTGCTGTGTAAAACTTCCCCCAAAACTAACTGGAATAATATACTTGGTTCCCAGCCCATGCAGCCTTCTTAGCTTTGCAGGGCCATGCAACTCCTCCATGTATGTTCAGAATCTTGGGTTAAACCTGTGACCAGACAGGAGGACTGCACAGAGCCTTACACTAGTAACTTACCTGCTCAGCACTGAGTTAGCTGTGCTGCTGTTTCTCTTTTGACTCTGGTTTGTCAACTGAGTTCTTCCCTTGTTCCTTGCCGACAGTCTTTGTTTTACACTCTACTGCTAAAAACTTGGTTCCTTTACTATCCACTGCATGTCTGGGCCCCTACCTAGTCTCTAGATTCAGTGCCTTCATACACTGGATGTTCAAAAGCATTCAAGCCCTAAGATGGAATCCCAAGAATCTTGCTTGAGGTTTTTAAAATTTGTTTTAAATGTTTATTTTCCTGTAAATTCATATTTACAGATAAGTTGCAAGAATAGAACAAGAAACTTTCATATATCCTTTACCCAGATTCACCAATTATTTCTATTTTTCTTCTCTCTCTCTCATATATATATATGCATTTGTTGAGAGAAAATAAGTTGTAGACATCATGCCCACTTTCCCCTAAATACCCCAGTATCTATTTCTTAGGAACAAGGGCATTCTCCTACATTGCCACAGTTGTTGTAAAAATTAGGAAATTTAATGTTGATATACTACTGTTATCTAATCCATAGTTAATATTCAGATTTCATCAGTTTCCCCAATAACATCTTGTATAGCTCTTTTTCCTCGTCCAGAATCCAATCTTGGGTCAGTCATTGAATTTAGTAGCCATTTCTCTTTAGTCCCCTTTAATTCAGAACAGTCCCTCTATCCTTTGTGTTTCTTGTACATTTTTGAAGTGTGTAGGCCAGCTACATTGCAGCATATCCCTCAATGATGTTTCCTTATGTTTAGATTCATGTTATGGATTTTCGGCAGGAATATCTCACAAGTAATGTTGTGTCCTCCTCAGGGCATCATATCAGGAAGCTTATAATAGTGGTTTGTCCCAACATTGGTGATGTTAGCTTTGATGATTTAATTAAGGTAGTGTCTGCTAGCTTTCTCTACTATAACTTTAATAAGTAATTTGTAGGGAGGTCCCTTAAGACTGGATGTATACATTCTGTTTCTCATCAAACTTTCAGTCGTTGGTTTTAGCATGCATTGATAATTTTCTAAATCCACAATTATTTCTACATTTATTAGTTCTTAGCGTAGAAGAATATAACGTCCCTTATCCCCCATTTATTTATTTATATCCATTTGGGATCATGGATTCTTATTTTATTAAGTGGGATATAAGCCATCACTATTATTATATATTTGAACGTTCATATTGTCCCTGTGAGCTGTCTCCTGTGTCCTTTGACACATCTCCCTTATTCTTGAAGTACCTCCTTATTTTCTGGATCTAAAAGATGTTCTAGGCACATCTTTTACTTTCTCTGTCCCAGCCCTGGAATCAGCCATTTCTCCAAGGAGCCCTGGTTCCTTTTATTGGAGAATAATATTTAGAAACCAAGATCTGGCTTGAGATGTGCCTATTGTTATTAGTGTGTCATTTCCTTTAGGTTATTTCAGCAGACTGAGCTAAGGAAATGTATTTTTGTATGGGCATATATTTCTCTCTCTCTCCATATATATGTGCATCCGCATGAGTTCATATTGGTACTTTCAATTCCAATTCAGCAAAACAGAGTACATTTCAGAATCTTCCCTTTCCATATTTGTAACTCCCTCAATAGTGAGAAACTTAGATCCCACCATCCTCAGTATATTTAATCATTTGCTCAAGTGGAATATACAGAAGATAGTTTCAAAATTTCTAACCCATGCCTCGGTAAAAACTTTGCCTGGGTTTAAAATTTAAGTTACAAGCCTCTAAAAGTGAGATCCTAATGAACAGCTTCCCACTTTGCTCTCCAAGAGTCTTCCTAAGGTTAGAGTCTTTTTTAAGTGCAGTTTCCAAGTTCTAACTCCCATAATTTGCTGATAGGCTTGTCTGAAGTTGAAGGTTTGCTTCCATGAATCTTTGACTACTGCCTACTTTCAGGAGCATTCTCAGTCCCCTAGCACTATATTGCACATTATTTTTTGCTAGAGCTTCTTCATATCTCCAGCAGGTCTGTGTGATCTCTGACCCAGTGCACTTACAGCCAGGCCCTCGTTTAGACCAGTACATAGAACAATTGGTAGTCTGTCTTTATTGTGCTTAAGAGTTAAATATTACTGTGTGTTTATGTACATGCACACCTATGTGTGTCTGTGTGTTCGTGTGTGTGTGTGGAGCAGGTTGTGGATGTGTATGGAAATGATTCTTTGACAGGCACTTATGAAATTCAGAGTTAGCAACTATTGCCAAAACCGTTCAGTGTTATCAGCATTGCAAATATATAATATATTCAGGTAATTTTCAGAAGACTTTTTTTCCTGGAAAAAAATTACATTCTTTTGCAGCATCATAAATTGCTGTCTTTTTTTAAATACCAACTATATGTAGCCTTCTAATGCTCCATCTCATTTTGAAATGTCAAAGTCATCCTTCTGAAAAGTCATACAATTAGGTCAAATATATTGCCTAATAAAAATCTTTCACCTTCTCAATGAGCACTGGGACAAAGATAAGAGGCCTTTAAGAACCATTCACACAGGATATGGCCTGGGTCTTCTAATTAGAATATCCAGAATTTTAATGATTCAAAATCTATTTTAAAAATCAAATACTATGCTTTTGGGGAAGACACTGAGAGGAGACAATATAGCATTTAGCATGGTGAACTCCAAAGTCAGAGAGAGCTCAAGCTAAGTTACTTAACTTTTCTCAACAATTCAGTTTCTTCATCTGTGAAATGGGTATAATAATAGTACTTCACTTGCAAGGTTGCTGCATTAAATAATATATTGCAATTAAATATTTAATAGTGTACCTGACACCTAGGAAATAATAAATGTTAGCTCTTCTCATAAATATTATTCAGATCTATAATCCTTTTCTGTGCCTTTAGTTCTTGGTTGTTTTTCCTTTCCTCTTGTAGCTGTTTTACAATTCTGTTCCTTGCCCTTCATTGAAGGGCGATTGTTTGATAATTTCCATGCTGCATCCCTTTCTGCTGTGTTGCTTGTGCACATGCTCTTGGCCGAGGTTTATTGCTTATTCTAATATAGTTCAGCTTGTGCCCATAGAGATGTCAGGTCTTCAGAGGCACTGTGTTGAGGCCCTGGTATGTGTTTACCTGCTTCGCATATCCCTCATATGTGAGGGACTCTTGGTCTTTGTCCCAACCCTAACTACACTTCCAAGCTGGTTTGTCTTTTGTCTCTTTATTGTTGGTTAATTTCTTTCATATGATTTCATAATATCATATTGGCTATAGCCACTGGTTTCTGCTCCTCTTCAGAGCTGAGCTCTGTGAGTTTGAACAGAGCGTCAGGCATGTGCCTTAGTTGTGGAGGGGAGCATGAGAACCTGCAGAGGGCTTCCTCTAAGATAACGATTTCGAAGGTGATAAAAAACAATAATGTTCCTATAAGAGCAGCATTTATTTGGAATTTACTGTGTAGCAGGCATTCATAAACACATTTAGTTTTGTAAAAACTTTGAGTTATTATTGTTGTCCTCATTTTTACAAATGAGCAAACTGAAGCCCAGAGAGGTTAATTAACTTGTCCCAAGTCACAAAGGCAGACAGTTGCAGAGCAGGATTCAGATTCACTGCTGTCTTACTCTAAAGCCCATGCTCTTTTTTTCACACTAGGCTGCTTATAGACCTACATGAGTACTGCATGCTCTCTCCTACCTGAGAAGGGATCAGACTGGATCTCGTTTGCAGAAGAAAGGTTCCAGATGTCTAGCTGAAAAAGAGATATATTTATTATTCACCCACATTCAGAACCAATTGAATAATAAACATAGTGGCCAGAAGATAGAGATCAAAACATCAAATTTATTATTAAGTTATATTTGAGGCACTGGTTTAGCACTGTCCCCCCTACCCCACAAACTGAAAACTGCCCACTTGAAGGTAAATTTGGTTCCACAGAGGATACCACTTACCTAAAGTTGCTGCCTTACACTGGTCTGGTGTGAGGAGGGAAGGAGAATGCTTACAGATTTAGATTATTGGCCCACTAATATAATTTTGGACCAATGGCTATAACCCACCCACCAGGTAACTCAGTGTAGCTCAGTGCAGAGGAGTAAGGGGTGCAGCAGGAGGCCTAGAGGTTTAATCCCTCCTCAGGAAAACCAGAGTGTTGAGGAATAAACATTCTCCCTAATATCTCTAAGGTTTAGGGATTTTACCCAGGGACTCATACATTAAAAATGACAGAGCAAAGTATAGTCAATCTGTAGCTTTGTTTGAAAAGAAACATAAAGGCTAGCCAAAAAATTTCTTCTTGTTAGAAATATAACACTTTCTGTGGGGCATGCAGACATGGCCGTGAGGTCAATTTCCTTTTCAAATCACTGAAACTTATATAAGTGCTACTCTGCTGACTCCTTTAGCTGTTTAAATTTCATGAAGAATCCATTTTCCCAAGAAAGTCATATTACAGAAATGCATTCTCTTGGTCTTCCAGGAGCGTATATGCCCAAGCCTGTGGGAATATGGAGGACAAACAGGGCAAACAGCAGAAGAGAAACTGTGTGAATGTATGTACACCTCTTTTGTCCATCACAGAAGTGAATAGATACATCTGTACAAATAAATGGAAATTGAGCTCAATGAGTTTCAATGAATGACAATTTTTATAAAATGGAAGAAGAATGGCAATTTTTATCTATACACTTTTTACTGGAATTTCATGAGGTTATCATTTGCATACTAAATCGAATGTTGATACTACAATGATAGTAATAATGATATTATTAATAATCCTGCCAACAGTACTGTGTCCTTTCTTGTATTAGGAACCATGCGAAGACTTTTACTTATATTATCTTATTTAATACATCTGTATAATGTATATACTACTGTTATTCCCATTGTACATAGAAAACTCAGCATCAGAGATTTTAAGTGGCTTGCCTAAGTTTACTAGTCTAAGTGACATACTAGTAAGTCACTTACATTTTTCTCACTTCAAAGCCTGTACTCTAAACTACTATGCTGTAAGTCTTCGTAGGTTAAGGTACATAATCCTAATCTTCTAATATTTCTGTGCTTTAAAAACCTGGAGGGTTTAGGTATAATTGTTTATGTATTTATTCTAGAGCTTTATTCATGTTTATCTAGAGATGACTATGCTAGGCCCTAGCAAAATCAGCACAGGCCCCGCCTTCATGCACCTCACTGTCCAGTGTCCTGTGGAGACTCATCTCATTCTGCTAGACACTTTAGTCATCCTAGTCTCCCTCTGGATTGAGAGGAGGAAGGGGCTTTGTAAAATACTACTAACTCATTGTTTAAGAGACACATCTTCCCCTTATTCTTTGCCTAAATTTATGTAAGTTAGGTAGATTCTATGACTTGAGAGCAACTAATTCTGTGCAGGGAAATCATGCCTAGGTGATGTTGCAGGTGGGAGTTGGATGGTTAATGTCAAGAGAAGGATGCCTGCCAAGTCTGGTGTAGCAAGGAAGTGAGGAGCAGAGTGTGTGGTGATTTGGTGCTGTGTTTTGTCAGGGGCACAGTCAGATTACTGGCTCCATCCCCAGGAATTTCACTAGGAGCAGACTGGTTGCTTCTACACAGCTGTGGTACTCCTCAGGCCTGACTTGGAGAAGCATCTGAGCCAGCCCCAACAATGGGAGAGAGTGAGGGACAGGGTGGTATTTGACTGCGGCATGCTGGTTTTGAGCGCCACAGTGTGGAGGGCGAATGGAATGCAACAGATACACAAAGGGCTCATGTATTAATGTGACCCAGTTTGATCCAAGTGGACTGTGGTTTGTGTTCTGCTTATGTACCTCATTGAGGCAAGGCTGCACTGATACATCTGCTTCCCAGCCCCTGCCCTCATTTATTATTACAAACATTATCTTATGGCTGGTACTACTGATCTTCCCTTCAATACTATAATTTCAAAATAAGGTCTACAATTTTAATTTTGAATGACATTTGAAGAGTAGTGTAATCTAAAGTGATTTTCTATTAATACATAGACTATAATATTAAAGACTTTATTCTTTTGGTAGATGTTAATAGTTCTGTTACCATGGAACATTTATTCCTTTAATTTCATGTAAATTTAAATTTTATGATGTTTGCTTCTGCAAGATTATATAATCCTTTTTTATTATTGAAAAGAATCACAATTATGCAAATGATTATATCCAAGAAGACAAGCAGCAATTAACTGTGAAAGACAGGCTGTTACTGTAAGAATTGTATTCACATTGAATGGAATTGGACTTTTCTTAAAATAAACCTTTAATAAGAAAATTCGGTTGGTACAGACTTTAAAGGCAAGCAGTGCGTTGAGACAAGTTTGTACTCTTGCCATAATAGTTTTGCATTTTAATATTTATAGTTTTCTTTTACTCTAGTATGCTTTTAGCTTCTGCCTTATAAAAAAAATGACTGCTTTAGTAAGTAAGAAATATGCGTGGAAAAACATCTCACTCAGGTTTATATAACTTTAATCTAACTACTCACTCTCATTGTTAAGAAAACTGGGCAATAATAACCATTTTAAAGATTTTTTAAAACCTAATTGTGCTTCCTTTTTATTTATAGCTTTTCTAAAATTAAAACTAGTTATCATTATGATTCTTAAACATGTATTGAGCCAGAATTTCCCTTGGGTCTACCCCTTGGTAGTGAATTGTGCATAGAGGGAAGGGCTCTTACTGCTTTAAGTGGTGAGGTTGCATACTGCATTTCTTTTGCTGCTGTCACCATTCACAAGGGTCCAACAAGACACTGAGGTGCTGTAGCGTACTGCTTAAAAGCACAGATTGTTTCAGAACCCAGCAAACCTGGGTTCACATCCTGATGCTTCCACTTATTAAGTATGTGGCCTAGGGCGAATTCCTTAACCTCTTTGAGTCTCAGTGTGCTCATCTGCATAAAGGTTTTAATAATAGAACCTGCTTTATGAAAATTAACTGAGTTAATCCCAATTTAGCACAGTGTCAAGCACATAGTAAGTACTCATTGTGATAACTGCTATTATTATTACCTGCCTTACTGAGCAGTTTGTACTCTGGAGAAGTGAGTCTAAAAAAGGAACATTTTAGTGCTTTCTTTGGTGAAAAAGCAGACATGGAATAAAGTACCAAAGTTTGCACTCATACTGAACTTCTTCGGTAATCCGTTTGCTTACATTCAGACAGTGATTTCTCACATTTGCAAGGGAGAGGAGGAGAAAGAAAAAGATGTGATGAAGAAATCTGTCATCGATTGCACCAGGTCTTCACAGGGAAAGCAAGATGACTGCATATGTTGATTAGAACAAGAAAACCATAAGGCACCGACCAGCATGCTTGAATTAGCATTTAAATTCTCACTGGGCCTGGGAAGTTTAACTGGAAGGAATTGCAGAGGTAGGCACATATGGTGATAATTTGGCCTAGAGGCTTTATTTTAAATTGAGAGCTCTCAGGTTTTCATGGACTCTCAGGCTGGAAGGGACCAGTTAAGGAAATTCAACCTCACTTATTAGCCTGGGATCAGTGGGGTCAGATTCTAATTTAAAACATCAAATATAAATAGGTTTGAGGATCAAGGGATTTAAAGGGCAGCATCAACTCTTGCAAACCACCAGTACCACCACCACCGCCTACATAATCGTTTACCAATTATGTATACTGAATTCCAGTTAACCATGGGTCTTGAGGGCAGAGCAAATAATGGAGCAGAGGCAAGTCACTGGGGGGCCCAGCCACAGACTTTAGAATGAAGCATATCAGGAGAAAAGCCACTGTGTGTTTTTTCCTTTCTTATCCTCCATCCTTTATAACTTGCTGCTTGGGTTCTAATCCTGGCTCTGCCACTAATTCAGTGTCCATGGACAAGTCACTCATATCCCCTCTCTCTTAGTGTCTTCTGCTATAAATAGAGAGGGTAGAATTTCTAAGGTTCGTCCTAGCTCTGACAGTTTATGATTCTAGTAGAAGATTAAGAAAGAATGGGAAACATGAGACTAGACTACAAGAGTATCTACAGATTCAGTGCAATCTCAATCAGAATCCCAATGGCATTCTTTGTGGAAATAGAACAAGGAATCCTAAAATTTATGTGGAACAACAAAAGACGCTGAATAGCTAAAGCAATCCTGAGAAAAAAGAACAAAACTGGAGGCATCACGATCCCTGACTTCAAATATACTACAAAGCTATAGTAATAAAAACAGCATGGTACTGGCACAAAAACAGACACACAGATCAATGGAACAGAATTGAAAGCTCAGAAATAAAACTACACATATATGGAGAGCTAATCTTTGAAAAAGGAGCCAAGAACATACAATGGAGAAAGGAAAGTCTCTTCAATAAATGGTGTTGGGAAAACTGGACAGCCACATGATAAACAATGAAAATAGTCCGTTATCTTACACCATACACAAAAATTAGTTCAAAATGGATTAAGACTTGAACGTAAGACCTGAAACCATAAAACTCCTAGAGGAAAATATAGGCAGTAAAATATTTGATATTTGTTTTAGCAGCATCTTTTCGAATACCATGTCTAGTCAGGCATGGGAAACAAAGAAAACATTAACAAATGAGACTACATCAGACCAAAGAGCTTGCGTAAGGCAAAGGAAACAGTGAACAAAGAGAAAAGACAACCCGCCTACTGAGAGAAAATATTTACAAACCATATATTTGTAAACCGTATATCCAAATATTTGCAAACCGTATATCCAAACCATGAAATTTGGGGTTAGTTTCCAAAATATGTACAGAACTCATACAACTCAACAACAAACAACCCAATCAAACATAGGCAGAAGGTATGAACAGACATTTTCCCAAAGAAGATAAACATATGGCCAACAGGCACATGAAAAGATGCTCAACATCACTAATTATTAAGGAAATGCAAATCAAAACTACAATGAGACAGCACCTTACACCTGTCAGAATGGCTATAATTACCAAGACAAAAAATAACAAAATGTTGGAGAGGACGTGGAGAAAAGAGAACCCTCATACGCTGCTGGTGGGAATGCAAACTGGTGCAGCCACTATGGAAAACAGTATGGAGATTTCTCAAAAAATTAAAAATAGAAATACCATATGATCCAGCTATTCCATCACTGGGTATGTATCCAAAGAACTTGAAATCAACAATTCAAAGAGATTTATGCACCCTATCTTCACAATATGAACGTCCCTATGTTCGCAGTTCACAATAGCCAAGACATGGAAGCAACCCAAGTGCCCACTGACTGATGAATAGATAAAGAAGATGTGGTGTATATATACAATGGAATACTACTCAGCCATCAAAAAGACAGAATCGTCCCATTTGCGACAACGTGGATGGACCTTAAGGGTACGATGTTAAGCGAAACAAGCCAGACAGAGAAAGACAAACAGTGCATGATTTCACTCATATGTGGAAGATAAACAAACACATGGATAAAGAGAACAGATTAGTCGTTACCAGAGGGGAAGAGGGTTAGGGGGTGGGTGAAAGGGGTAAAGGGGCACGTACATATGGTGATGGATAAAAATTAGACTATTGGTGGTGAGCATGATGCAATCTATACAGAAACTGATCAATAATAATATACACCTGAAATTACACAATATTATAAATGATTATGACCTCAA